GACCACAACATTGCCCAACATAATGCAAGCGGAACGAAACTGAGCTACTCGTTATTGTGTGGTTGACGGATCATTTATCAGTTTGGACCAATGCAGCGCGAGCTGATCTTAATCAAGCAGTACTGTTAGTACACAGCGAAATCCATTAAAGAAAACATTTGAATTCACCACTGAAGTAATAACATCACTGTGAGATAAAGTGACTATAACTAATTTAAAACCTTTGTTTATAACTACTACAATGTTACATTTCATTTTGTCCAAGTAGCTGTTTTGTTTTATATGCTCCTAAGAAAAGTCAAGTATAGCTCCATCATTGCTCAAAGTAAAAAAAAAAGAAAAAATACCATACTTTATAATGTTAGTTTTAATAAAAATATAATTAAAAAAAAATATATCAAGGTAATTTCTCTGGCATTTCTTTCTTTTTGCTGTATCGGAAACATACCGAAACGTACCGAACCGAACCATGACACAAGCGTATCGTATTGAACCGAACCTAGAGTTTTGTGAACCGTTACACCCCTAATTATATATGATATGATTGATATGATGTATTATTAAAAGTTTCAGCGTCTGTAACACTTTTAAAATGTTTTGAAAGACGTTTGTCCGCTCACCAAGGCTGCATTTATTTGATCAAAATACTATAAAAAAAGTTATTATTAATACAATTAAAAACAGAAAACATATTGTAACTTAAAATAACTTTTTTAGTTAAAATCTTTTTTCTTTATCTTTTTAAAATGTCATTTATTCCTATGATATTCTTGTTATTAAAAAGCTGAACTTCTTTTGGAAACTGTGATACATTTTTTTTTTCATGATTCTTTGAGAGTATTAGTAGAAATTAAAAAAAAAAAACTATAATGTTATATCAATTTAATGTGTCCTTGCTGAATAGAAAAGTATTCATTTCTTAAGAACAATTGTACGGACCCCAAACTTTTGAACATTGTAATATTATGTATTTTTATTATGTTCATCAAAAAAAAAAAGAAAAAAAAAAAAGTCATTTCAGAGGTTGGGAGACTGATTATTTTTTGATGGTTTTGATATGCACTGATGGATCTTGATTTATTTAAATCATTAGGTTACATTAAATCAATTGTAATTATTGTCTTCTTATACTCTTGCAGGTCTCCCCCCACCAGGTTAACAAGTCTTGGCTTGCCAAAATACCATTTTTTTCTACTCTAAAGGCCTAGATAAAGTCATCAGTGTTAATGAGTGTACTGCTCTGTCTGACTGGCCAGCAGCTTATTGTTTCAGGAAGCTCCATTCTCGCCCATTATGAGGTAGTCATCCATTGCCGTGGTAACCCAGGGGTAAAATTGTGCCTGTAAGGCTCTGGCGAGCAGAGAATTGAGCATGCATAGATAGGGTTAATTTTTTTTTTCCATCTTGGCTCTAAACAAGGGGCTGATTGTCCAGGGGTCCTATCAATTTGCGTCACAGAGAGCCTGTTGTATTCAAATTAAGCTTGAGCTTAATTATCAAAGGTGAATCATTAAATCTATGTGTAATTGAGTGGGCAACCATTTCATTTGAATTCAAATTAGATATATCCAAAGTTATAATCAAGGATGTGCAGTAATTAGGCAGGTTTAAGATACAAATGACAACAATTAGACGCATTTTTTAGAGATAATTTATAGAAGATGAACACTTGTGTGGACAGAGCAATATACAAAGTATATAAAAAATGCTGATTTAAGTTTGGTTGCTAAAAAAATAACAAAAATAAAGGAAAAGTCTAAAACTAGTCAACCTCACTAAACTGAAAGACAAGGAGAATTGACGACAGAGACTCCTACGATTCCTAGCTAGAATCTATTCATACTCAGATTTTTTCTGTTCTCCATTTTTTATTTTTTATTTTTTCAGTCTCCATGGCCTACTCTGTAGTTCGAAAAACATGAAAAATGAAACCGGTAATGCTGGCACTACAGAAAACAGGGCTTTACTAATATATTTTCTCAATCTGACAATAACTAATGACTAAATATTGCCCAGGGTGGCTGGTGTAATTGTCTGTTGTCAGTATGCCAGACATAATTACGCACGGCTCTCACTTTGAGACAAGGGTCTTTTCCCTCTCTCTCTGTCCCTTATCTCTCGTTTTCTCTCTCTCGCTTCAAACCTACCAAGGTGTCCGTGTGTCCTTGTGGCTCCTAACTCCAGCGAGTGTCTCTGTCACGATCCCTGTCATAAAACATACATCATCCCCTCTCCCCTTCCTCCTCCCTCATTTTACTGCCTGCCGGTCATTATCGCCTCTCCCTCTGTGTCTCTTTCCTCATTTCTCTTTGAACACGTGCGTGCGTGAGCTACTCGTATTATCCTGTCACTGACCTTGTTTTGTTTGCAAACCATAAAAACAACAAAAATGCAAATGAAAACTTGAGTTTTGAATGCAGGTGAGGAAAAACTAGGGATGTACAAAACTGCACACTGTCTGAATCAACGAGTCTGAGAGTTGCCTGAATGACTACTTGACTAATTGGTCTAGATTAAAAGGAACTTTTTTGCATTTCTTAGACAGTGTTTACATAAAACATTCTTGCATTCGAAAACAGCTAAACTAAGTGAAACGGAATGAAAGAAGAAGCAGGACTGGCCAAAAATGTTTGTTAGCTGTAGCGCTTTACTAAGTTACGTGTCTAGATAAGTAAAATAAAAGAGAAAAAAAATAGAAAACATAATGTCTAGATAAAAAATATATTATGTAGATAAAGTGATAAACCAGTCAAGATATTTGTCTAGATAAAATTATTATACATTTATTAGATAAAAAATCTATATAAAGTCAGATGTTAAACTATAAATAATCTTGAGAAAAAATCTAGATAAAATAGTCAGCATATGTCTAGAAAAAAATATATGAATATTATTGTGAATTATAATTATAAAATATCGAGATAAAATAAATCTTAAAAAACTAGATACTATATAATATTTTACAGACTTATATATTATCTAGATAAATTCTAGATCAACTAATCAACATTCAGTTATTGCCTTATATATAATATTGTATATATAATATATATTCCAAATATTGGATAACCTGTTGAGTATACTTTATGTCTAGAAAAAAAAACATTATATATTGGCAAAAGAAGAAGATTAGATCAACTAATTTTGTATGTATATAATATTGTCACATCGGACAATTTTTTGAAATTGAGATTTATACATCTGAATAAATAAGCTATCCATTGATGTATGGTTTGTTATAGAACAATATTTGGCCGAGATAATATTTGTCCAACTATTTGAAAATCTGGAATCTGAGGGTGCAAAAAAAAAAAAAATTAAACATTGAGAAAATCTCCTTTAAAGTTGTCCATTTATGTTTGCCATTTATGCAACCGAAAAAAAGTCTAACCTAAAAGCCTAATGATTTCTGGCATAAAATAAAAAAATCATTTTGACTCATAAAATGTATTGTTGGCTATTTCCACAAATACACCCATCCTACTCATGACTTGTAATATGATATACTATTTTACAATGTCAGCTTCAATGACATTCTAGTCAGTTATTGGATTACTAGTCGATTAGTTAACCATTGTGACCATCACAGGTGACATATCCGATTAGGGTTGGGTATCGAGAATCGAGTATCGATTGGAATCGGGACTAACTTTTCGTTTTTCCCGGAATCGTTCAAAAGTTAAAATTTCGATTTCTAGTTTCAATATTCACAGTCCGCCGAGCGGAAGAAGAAACCGCTGAACAACACCAACGAAGAAGCGGCTATCGGAAGTGTTGGCATAACCGCGCGAGTCGAACATGAGTAGCTTACGTCGGCGGTCCAAAGTGTGGCTTCACTTTTCTAAAAATAACGAAATCTCGGCAAAATGCAAAATTTGTGACAAAAGGAGTATTTGTGACAGAAGGAGTATTTCCTTCAGAAAGGATTATTTCCTTCCGAAAGACCGTTGGTTAGCAAGGTTAGCTAAACTTTTTTGACCCTGCCTCTTAGAAGAATCGGAATCGAGAATCGTTAGGAACCGGAATCAAAACAAGGAATCGGAATCGGAATCAGAATCGTTCAAATTCAAACGATACCCAACTCTATATCCGATGCAGTGAAATCTCTTCTCCAAACAACAAACACTCAAATACTGAATGTGTGTTTTGTCTGTGTACACATACAACAACACCGCAGTATATGTGCTAGTTACTGAAGCATGGTGCTATGCTATCACTGTCTACTAACCACTTATTAATGACCAGAACCACTATGCATAAAGGCAAAATGTATTTCATGGATGCTTGGGCATGAAAGAGAAATCTTGTTTTGCAGACCTATAAAAAATAGTTCATTAAAAACATACATTTCTCTAGCATGTGTAGTCTCAGAAACAGCTCTTAAATTAAGGCCGACTCCCGCGAGAGAGAGAGTGTGAGAGAGAGACAGAGGGAGAGCCAAAGACAGGCAACCACTCGTCGAGCTAATAATGTCTGCGGCCATGACTTCAGCACCAATGCAAGCATTTGCCACCCATTTAATTTCAGGGGATAAAGTGAAAGCTCATATCATTTATCAGGAATTCAACAAAGACTCTTATGGAAATGTCAACCATGGCGACTGTAAGTGATATTTAAAGGTGGCGGTTCTCCTGGCAGACAATAAAAAGCAAAGGGGAAATGAGAGAGGTATTCTTGTGCGTGACTTCTATTATTTATCATCTGTTGCTGTATATCGCCACCACAAACCACAAATTATGAATTGCAGGAATATGGTTGGCAGATAATTTGTTAAATTATCCCAACGGCGGTAAGTACAATAATGTGAATGTGCGCATTAGAAACTATACAGGCTTGAGATGAGAGTCCACCCAAGCAACACAAAAAAAACACCAGAACATCCTTGTAGCTTAAAATACACATCAGAAAACATGCTGCAAATATACATGCAGATTTGGTTGTATAGTTTTAGAACCTGTCAGATCTGCAATCAAATAGCCATTGAAGTCCAAACCTCTTACCTGCTTGGCTGGTTGCGATGCTGACGGCTGCAAACAGTCGCTGGGTACGGCTGAGATCGGAAACGCCATTCACGGCCTCAACCTCAAAGGTGTAGTTTGCGTGAGCCAACAGGTCGGTGATGGTGACATAGGTGTCAGTTAATCCACTTTGCTGTGGAGAGAAGCCAACGTTGCTCCCGCAAGGAAAGCACTCTTCTGGCTCCCAGGTGCAGCGGCGGCATATAATCCGGTACGTCACGTCGTTACGCCCGCCCGTGTCGGCCGGCGGGGTCCACTCCAGGCTGACGGTGGTGTGGTTGATGTTGTAAAGCAGGTTCTGAGGAGCTGATGGTGGCCCTGTAGTAAGAGAAGATTCATAGATAAACATAAGACTACAGATTTTTCTTTACTCAAGAAAAAAAAAAAAACACGGAAAAACAGGGAATCTGTGCCCTTGGCCAAATCCTGGCATGCAATTATTCTGTAACCTAGATACATAGAGATGTTATGCTCAAGAATGCTGGGGAGTTGAACTTGAGCGGTGCCAAGGTCGTTGTAGACCACGGATGTGACAGAAAAACTATAAAATGGAGAACAACCGGATACCGTTTTGAGGTATAAAAAAAAAAACCTTAAAAGATAAGACCGTCTTCCTCCTACTCGGTATCTTTGCAGTAGCATGTCATTACCGAGCCTGGGAGTTATGAGATTCCTGTGAAAAGAAAAGAGGTGATACGTTCGGCAAAACCCTTTGTTTCTTGACTGCCAGGGTGACAAGGAGTCTAAGCCATGGAAGACAGGGAGTCTGAGTCACTTCCAGAATTTAAGAGTCAGATCATGAGCGAGTTATCGCCCCGACAATAGCAGCAGTGCAGGATTGCACTCAGCCTACAATAACCAGCTCACAGACGGATGACCACAGTGGAAAACAACCCATCATCTCCTAATCCCCGCCAGTGCCAAGGAATCTGGCGTGTCTCATAAAGCAATGATTTATACTTTGCTACTTTTATCCAACCACCAAGCCCTTGCTTTTATCACCCTAATGTTTTCATAACGGCACCACTGTCTGTTAAATATCTTTTTTATTAGAACTTGTCTTTGAGGTGGTCTTGCATCATGGGTTTGTCGTTTTGGAGAGGTTCGATTTTTGGACCTCAAAAAGAAACAGTGACCCGTATGTGTCCACTGGTGTGGAGCTAAATGGGCATTTTCAATCCATTCTCCAGGGAAGCTGTAAATAGACACATAAAAAGCGATCGTGGGATTGACAGCAGAGCAGGTTGGTAAACGTAATGGAATGTTAAAAAAATGCGGAAATGAGCATAAACGATTAAATACCAGGATTTTGCATATGTATTATTATGCGTCCCTTGTATACTTTAGGCATACTAAAGTAGAGTCTGCATTTTTATATGAGTAATGTCTGGTCGCTTTGTAGCTACAAAACACTGTCAGTGCGAAAGCCCCCTTGGGTCGTGTGTCGCCAGTGCCGCCCGTCTGCAAAACTGGGGACATTTAGTAACAGAACACTTGTTTCATATGCATGAGGGGAAAGAGCAGGCATTAGAATTGTGCGAATAGTTAATATGACACTTAAATTTTGCTCCTCATTAAAGCTAATGGCACACACATCCATCCATATTCATCAAAGTAGGAGGGGAACGAGTGAACGGAGGAGATGAAAGGGCCACCTGTGGCAGGTGAAGAGATGTGGTCTGTCTCTCCATCTCTATCTTCTCTGTATCTCTCTCTCTCAAGTTGGAAGCACAACTTCAACTGCAGATGCTAATGATGTCCCTCCTACTCCATTACCCTTGGGGAGAGCTGCTCACACACTCTCATCCTCCTGGGGCTTTAGCATTTTATTTCTATGGTTACCTGTAATAATAATAATAATACCACTAATGGCTCCATTTGGCATGGCCTTCTCGTTCTGCTCTTGAGTGGCAGAGATCAAGGGATTGTTTATCTTTAAATGGCCAGCTGAGACAGGAAGGGACTCAAGTCAAGCTGTCATTGAGCATTATCGATTCAAACCAAAAGTTAACAACGGATAACCAACTAATTTAATCATTTAAAACATGAAACAAATTAATGTATATAATAGCAGTCCATTATTTTATTCTAATTTCATAATTTGAGGCTTTGTAAAAAAAAAAAAAACATTTTTGTATGGAGGTATGGCACCTTTTCGACATATGCCAGAAAATATTTAATGAATGCAATAGACACTTCTATATTGCAAATGCAATAAATGCATAAATGTGAATGTAATTTAAAAAAAAAAAAAAAATTAAATAGTAAAATTTATAAATGGGATCATCATTTGGATAAAAAGGAATATGCGACGATTATAACAGTTTTAGTCTATTTCTTTTTGGTTTTTGAGAACACTGAAATTGGCTAAAACAAGACTTTCCTGTCAAGCGTACATCTGGCGTCTGGAGAGTCCCGCAGTCGTCTTTCATTTTAATGCACTGTTGTGAGCGTCATCGTCTGCTGGTTTACAACAAAATGCCCTGTGAGTTTACCGTTCTCATTTGCTCTTTCACACACGAGTGCATATGTGTTTCTATATATGTAATCTGTCACCTCCTTTTGCAGTCTGCTTTGAGACGGATTCTGCAGGGACGCTGAAAGAAGTCTGGGGGAAACTAGGACAAAATTCTGCCACAGACAGCTTCATTCTCCACAAACCAAACTATTCGTTTAATGGATATATGGAGGTTGCTTAAAGCCCGAGTACACTCTTTGACACTCGACTTTTTTTGCTTTCCCTTTCAACCTTCTTATAAAACAGGTTTGTTTTTGTTTTTTTACCCACACTTTATAGATTTTATAGCCTCAATCCGCCCACAGTCTGTTCACAGAGTCTCTGATAAAGATTGCACTCAAAACGGCAAACATTCCTGCAATTTTTCTGTTTTCTGTACAGACGTTCACAGCAAGGGCTGTGCCATCTGAATGATTTTTCCCACAACGCTCTATTGTTGTGGTATAATCTATTTCAGATAACCCTACCCTTAAATATAAAAGCAAAAATGTGATTGATTGTTTTATATGCCAATTTTTCCGACCAGAATGACCTCCATTGCATTGTGGACCAAATTTAAGCCTTTAGTCAAAAATCTGGCTACGTGAGATACACTTGATATGTTTTCTAACAGTGATTTTCAAGTGATTGAGCTGAATATCCTTCCAAACCAAAGAGTAAAGTTTAATGCATGTGGGAAAAAAACATGTAAATCAGTAAAAATGTGGTCACGATTCTTACCATTGCAGTTTTCCTGTGAGAAAACATTAATTAGGTCAACCTGCTGGTCGTGTGTGTGTGTGTGTGTGTGCGTGCGTATGTGAGAGAGAGAGAGAGACGCCTGAAGTCTCGGGCCAAGCAGTACAGGAGCTTAACTCAGGAATCCAGTTGTTATCTGCACTTTGAACAGCTCTTGACTGTCTTAGTGCTACTCCTCCTAGTAAAGGATAATTTACGCTAAATAGCCATTTACGTCATTCCAATCATGTATGTTTGTTTTTAAACAAAAGGGGATTTTTTAAAAAATATCCTATTTTCAATTTAATAAAAGTGAATGAGACTTCGTAGTGAATAATGACTATCATGACTATCACACAATAGCTTAAACAAAAGCTAACACTACAACATATGTAATGCGTTGAAAGGCGTCTATTGATCACCAAGGATGCATTTATTTGATCAAAAATACAGAAAACTGAAATAATATTTTAGAATATTACAATTTAAAATATCTGTTTTCTATTTGAATATATTATAAAATGTGATTTATTCCTTACTCCAGTCTTCAGTGTCACACGATCCTTCAGAAATAATTATTAAATGCTGATCTGATGCTCAAGAAACATTTCTTGTTATTATCATTAATGCTGAAAATAGTATTTTTTAGTAGATTCTATGATGAATAGAAAGTTCAAAAGAACAGCATTTATTAGATTTTTAAAAGTATTGATTTATTTGCCACAGAGGAAGTCGAGTTTTAGCATGGGTTGAGGGTGAGTAAAGCAGAATTTGAATTTTTGGCTGATTATCCCTTTAAGACTCACCCCAATAACGAGGCCGCTACTTGTGAACCGTGTTTAAACGGTCCAGCCACTAATCCTTAATCTACAAACATGGTACCTGAACTTTGACCTCACTTGTACCATTCGCCAATTATAGATAGAGGGCCGGAGCCAGAGCGGTGCGCGAGAGAGGCTGGTTTACTACTGTACATCTGTGCCAGCAACTGTGGGGAAAAAGGAAAGTCTCGCCCTGAGGGACATGTCAATGAACGGAGGTGATGATTCCAAAGGGGTTGAAGGGAGCTGAAAAGATACTATGTAGGTTATGCACTCTCACTTTCTCTCTTTCTATTTCTCTTACTTTCTTTCTCGCTTTTTCAATGTCTCCCGCTCTCCCTTTTCCTCTTTTTCTCTCTGTCACAAAGTCCCAACCTCCTCCCGCCCCTTCCAGACCTTCGCTAGTGCTGACACCATGCGCAGCTGTCGAATGATCGATGTCATCTCTGAAAGCTGTCAAGAACTCCCTACTTTCGCAGCAGGCTTTTGCCTAAGTATTGCCTATTTATCTTGGCACCTCACAGGTAAACCCAGGAGAATTTATGCCATGCAATTTGGATTAATAAATAAGTGAATATTTCTGTACAATTTTGTGCTAGATTTCTTTTTTTCTCTCTCTCTGAAAGTGAATATTAATTCCTTTCACTCTGGAAATCTGAATTTCATTAAGGCCGCTCTTAATCCGTGTTCTGAGGAGCTGAGTGCGTATTGACAGAGCTTAAGATTCGGTAGGTTTACACCTCGCTCATTTAAAAAGCTGTCCATCAGGGTGTTTATTCAGCGAATGTAAATTCACCCCCAATTACCATTCAGTTCCACGCTGCTTTAACCCCCCCAAAACCCTCATATAAAAAAAGAAATCTTCATCCCAGACAATTCAGATGGTCACAATAACTTAATCCCGAGATAATTAAGACAAGTCTGGTAAGAGAGGAGTATTTTGAATGCATTACACTTCAAAAGAGGCGCGATTTATGTTTGTTAAAACTTTTTTGTTTTACCCCCTTGATTTGCATTTTTTTCTCTCTTGTCACATCCTTATTATCCCAAACTCCTGCCACATCCTCTGCGACTCAAAGTGATTTAAAACAACTCCCCTCCCCTGGCCAATTATTTGTGTATCTGAGTTGTATAACTTATTTAGCGATGCATGGTGTCTGTACTGTTGTTCAACACTAATGTACTTACTGCTTTACATTCACTTTATGTTTTTTATATGTATTAAATGCTCAACAATGCTGCATTTCATTAAAAAAATACAGTAAACACTAATTTTGAGAAATAATATTATAAAAATGTAAAATATTTTCAATTTGAATATATTTTAAAGTGTAATTTACTCCTGTGATGGTAAAAGCAGTCATTACTGCAGTCTTCAGTGTCACTTGATCCTTCAGAAATCATGCTCAAGATGAATAGAAAGTTTAAAGTACAGCTTTTATTTAAAATATAACTATTTTGGAACATTATAAAATGTTAATTTTGATCAATTTAATGTTTTCTTTCTTTCAGGGCCTTTAAGGGCATGTGTCATCTTCATAAATCATTATATTTATGAATTACCTTTGTTTCCACATTTTCCAACTCGCATGCTTCACCATTTATTTGCACTCTGGATGCCATAGATGACTCTTAATCCCTATATTCTGTGTCTATTTTGCAGTAAAGTAAACATGTTTAATGCCCAGACAGCCAAAAGTGTGGTCAGGGTAGAAAAAGATCTATGTCAGATACTGTGGAAAGAGAAAGAAGGCAGAGGAGACGAGAGTAATTATGTGGTGAATGTCAGGCCTGTTTCTCCTTTGTTCTCTTATTGGTGGGCAATGGGCAACAATTAGACTAAATCTCTTCGTGTGTGATCATCTCTTTTGTAAGGCAGTGGTGAGACAAATTTGGGGGAGTTACTGTAATAGAATAAAGAAGAAAGCTGGAATGAGGGTGGGAGAGGTAAATCGTAGTGAATGATTAACGCATGACATATGCCTCATCATTGGGTAGGCTGCACATTTGGCCTGCTCCACAACAGCACAGCTAGGGTCTAATATGTTTCTCTCATCTACTCAAATTCATTCGTCATTCCCTGTAGTCTATTGCAGCATCATAGCTGCACAAATAACAAAATTAAAAGTATCGGCATATGGCCTTGTGCGCATCTTAAAAACAAAAAAAGGCTGTGATTTAATTCAGCACTCTAGTTTGTCATCTACTACATATACTGAGCATGCATGTGGTGCCCCTTCAGATCTGATTTGTGTTAATTTGTCCCCACTCCACCCCCACAATGCGATTGATTTTAACCCTTTGACATATACGATCATACTGGTGTGATAAGAACACTCAGTGCGTCACTAATAAAACACAAAATACATTCACTAATAGGGCTGTCGCGGTTATGGAATTTCCCTTGCGGTAATGTTGAGTGGCTCAATAGCGCGATATGCGGTATTACCGCCATTTATTTATTTATTTAATTTATATGTATTTGTTGCTATATAAATAAAGTTTACGATGTGGACAAAAACGAGGACATTTTCAGTAACCAATGTAACCGAAACTAAACAGCGTCTACACAGTATATGCGCATTGAAAGACTTTCACTCAGCGCGCATATTGTTATGACAACGGACTTTGAGCGAGTCATTGAACCGTTCATTCAACGAACACATTTAAAAAAGCTGATTCATTAAAAGAGATGTAAAGAAACAAGATAATAATTATTTTTAACTTTGAGGTTCAACTTTTCAAGGCTCAGCTGAGCAGCAATGCGTCGCATGGGCAACGCTGAAGCTGATGCTTCACTTATTAGAGACCAATATAGCATTGATTCAATGCGTGACTCACTGATTTTATTTCCCCGTGGTTTCCTTGTGCTATGGTATGCTGACCAGCGCTGCTGCTGATGCGCATTTATGGGAAAATATCCGTGAAGAGAACGTTAATATGATGATGCGACAAATATTTCGCTTCCCTTTGACACGACAAGCTTTTCACGACTTCAAAGAAAGACGCAGAATTGCACGCGCTCTGCCGATCATTCACTGTCTGTGTGAAGCCTGTAGGCTACACATCACCATGATAAACAGTCGTGTTATCATTATGAACTTGTTTAACATTCAATACACATGCATTAAGTTCAAAACAAGAAGGGTATAGCCTTATAAAAAAAAAAAGTGAATATCGCGGTTGCTGCGGTTACGTGCAATCCTCTGCGGTAATTGTCAGAAGCGCGGTACTACAAAATTGCGGTTACCGCGACAGCCCTATTCACTAACACATATTTGACAATCGGAACATATCATATAATTCATGATATGATAAAAAAAATTATTATACTATTTTGCACTATTATTACAGAATTGAATTGTAATATAGTTACTATTATTACTACTAATAATAATAGTATTAATAATTGCAGCACTAAATTACAATGTTTATTCAATTTAGTAATAATAATAATTAGACAATATTAAAATGCAAAAATATAAAATGCAAATACATTGTAAACAAAGTAACTCTATTGGCAAGATTCATTAATACAGGCAGCAGAGCATGGGCAACACATAACTTAACTCTGCGTCAAAGTTTCTTGTTTGTGATTTTTTATTTCAATGTGATTTTATGTCTTTTTGCTCTTTAGCCTTGAAATCTTTCTTTTTTTTACCAAACTGTACAGCCTTAATCCTTACTTTAATGTGTTCTCTCCATCTTTTTTGTCTTCAGGAAGTTAAGCACATCCTGGGATTCTACTAGATTGAACCTGTCCTTGAGCATATTTCCAAGTAGAACGACTCGCCCTGAACTCCCTCAACGCCTCTTTTCACCCTTGTCTGGCCTCTGTAAATAAGTCATCAATGGCTGAGGAATAGCTGTGCTTTTCATAAAGAGAGATGGCCGAGGACAGCAAAGGAGCGGACAGGTGGTTATTAGAAGGGAGGGGAAGAAAACATAAAAAAGAGACAGAGAGGAAAGAACTGCTGAGACCTGCTTCCATTACTTCTGACTGTAATTACCAGAAATGCTATGCCTATTCAAACCAAACTGAATCCAAACACATGCCCATTCAGACACCCCGCTGACCAAAAAATAAATAAATAAATAATAACAATAATATTCGCTAGTTCCCCCTCAAAAAACTGACACCCCTAGTAATTATAATCTCACCTGACAGGAAGCAGACAATTGTCTGATCATGACCTGCTAGTTAGTGGGAATGAGATGTGCCAGTTTGCAATCATAAAGACATAGAGAAGGGAGAGAACAAAAAGGAAGAAGAGATTTACAAACAGCTCACTCACTGGTGCAGGCGACAGAAGGGGGGTCGGAGAGGGCTCTGTAGTAGCCATCCTCGCAGTCACATCTCCACGAGCCCTCTCTGTCATTATAACTGTGTGCGGGACAACGGGAACACTGAAGATCCTGAGATGAAGACTTGTAGAATCCACGACCACAGGCTGGATGGCGATGGAAAGAAAAAGAGAAAGAATTAGAATGTGTTCACATTTTGTATCGTCTAGTGTTTGCATTAGACTGCCCCTTTAGCACCATCATAAGAACCATAAAATATGCCTTAATTGATATCTCAGTTGTTTCTTGTAGACATAAATCAGATTGAATTAAGTAATAATGGAAATGTTTTAGCTTTTCAGATTTTCAGACCATGTTCAACTTGTATGTATCTTTTCTAGGGTTTCAGAAGACATCTCAAAGTATCAAATGAGATATGCTAACAATATGAATTTCAAAGTATTTATAGCTAGTGTTGTTATATTATCAGTAGTTGAAATAAATCTTAAATAAAATAAATAGTAAATATTAGATAAAAAAGCTTAAACTTAAAAACAAGTTAAAGTTTTAAAACTGAAATAAAATCAAATAAAAATGACCACACTTTTACAACTAAATTAAAAGATTAAAAAGAAACCTGAAAATATGAAAAAAGCTAATTCAAAATATGAATACACACTATATATTAATAAATACTAAAATAACACGTTTATCGCAGGAATGTTGTCAACAGTTAGCTCAGTGGACATTATAAGACACAAATCAATACATACAATAACTGAGAACTATGAAAAGATCAGCCTCTGAGCAATAATGTATTCTGCTGGGTCATTACAACACACATTTAGTCACTCAGAGACCTTACATTCCTGATCACCCCAAAAGCTCTTGCATGCTTGCCTTTGCACCACCTCTAGCAGTCAGAAATGTCCTAGAGGCAAGGTTACTTTGGAAAATAGGAAACTTAAATGGATTATTTCAGTATTTCACCTTTTATGAGGGGAAAAAAGGACATCCCACAGGCAGCCAGGGATCAGAGACAAAGCAGAAATTAGGGCCAGAATGCTTTAGGCTATGCACAAGAATCACCCTCACACGTTCCAATGACAATGAGTCATTTAGTCCCATACTTTGTTTCATATGCCCATATGGGCTGAATTTCCAATGAAGCACCATCATCATACATTACTATTTGTATTATAATTAGACAATATTAAATACCTAATAAAATTCCGGTTTTTTTTTCTGAATTCACATATCATCACTAATACACTTTGTGTTAATTAACCTTGTGAAGAGAAGAGAAGAAAAAAACTGCAGAGAGAACAAATGGGTGATTCCACAGGCTGGGTATTTTCCTGGTTCACATCAGTAAGCAAAAAGAAATAAGCTATTTTCGGCTGGCCTTTTGGTCGGCACTGCTGAGAGACGCTAATCCACACTTAGCAGCTGTTTGCTTAAAACCCCCTTCAGCCTAAAGAGGGAATCGGGCCCACATGATTTTTCTTAAACCCCAACCACGCCCGCATCCACAGGATAAATATTACTTTGTTCACAGCTATGCATTTTAATGATTATTACCAGGGACACAACACTACTGATTTTCAATTCTAAACCCAGTTTTTGTATCTCAAGTAGTTGCATTATTGTTTCAGGGCCTTCCTACTGCAGCTTTCCGTGACAAGACTAAAATGGTGCTCGCACAGGAGGTCGGATGATTTCCTCATTTTAAACACCACCTTGTTGAGATGGGGGGTGGCTGAGGGAAACGGTCTCCCCATTTCAGCTACATGAAAGCCTTGTCACTGTGTATTTTGCTCAGAACCATAGCATGGTGTGGCCGTGCAACATAAAGAACAAGGGCCTTCAGAGGCTCAGAAGAGGAGGAAAGGGATGTGATTTTATCTGGAATCTTTCTCAACTAGTGAGGACTTGTAATTGAAAGCAGGAAATCTACTTCTTGCTTGTAAGGAGGTGGTGCTAGCAAAGATTACAGTGAAATAGTCATGGTTAAGAGAAAAGGGTATTCAGTGTTGTTGTTGTTGTTGTTGTTTTTTTTGTTGTTTTTTAGGATTAGGTTTACACCTTATGTACTTAGAAGACGCCATGTACTATATACTATTCCTATATAGTAATCATTTTTTACAGCATGTTTAAATTGTCATTTTTGGAGGCTCAGAAAAACGCACTGTTTTAGTGTGTGCCCTTTAAATGCAAATAAGCTGCTGCTGCCGGCACAGGGGGCGGAGCTTCATGAGCTCGCGTTCAGTCTCTCAGGACAATTTCATCTCACGGAATGATGATAATATCAGAAACTCTCAGTAACGGTGTTCATTTCGAGTCGGACAATAATGCCTACAGAGTCAGAGTGCTGTAGAGAGATGGAACAGGTATAGTTTAGTAGTTTAATTACTGTTATTAAAACACATTTGTCATCTGCTTGTAGCCTATGTGTCAATTATTTATTAATAGCTTACAAGTCTGCTGTTTCGGACCAGGTTCGAATGATGATCAAAAATATACTGATGAGTTTAATAAAGTTTATTGTACATCACAAAAAAGATGAAGCATCAGTTTTACTTCAGAAAATCACTGTAAGAGCTGAGTAAACACAGTAAGTTATAAGTTGAGGGAGCATTCCTGTGGGCAGACATTAGTCAAAAAAACTGTTCTACTGACGTCATTAAAGAAGGAAGTAGAGGGAAGTAGTCCAAATGCGCCGTTCGATGTAGGCTACTTCTGTTAAATTAAATATCTCGCTTGGCATTAAACTTTGAGCTTTATAATTTCAAAGATATTATTTATACTCCAACAACAATATTACAAACTAACTAAAGTTCGAAACATGGGATCACGAAGAACGGGACCTTATTTTATAATATTTATTATAATATTTAATATTTTTATAATATTAATAATTTGTGTAATATTTAATATTTATTTTAATAATACACCCCCCCAAAAAATAACAAGTTATTTTAAACTATTTAAAAGGAGAGGAAAGAAGAAGGTAAAAGGAAAAGAATTGGGGGAAAAAGGAACAAGAAAGGAAAAGGAACAAGGAAAGGAAAGGAAAGGAAAGGAAAGGAAAGGAAAGGAAATGAAAGGAAAGGAAAGGAAAGGAAAGGAGAAAAGTAACAAGAAAAGTAAAAAAAAAGCAAAAGGAACAAAAGGAAAAGGAAAGGAAAAGAAGAAAGATCAGGCAAGGAAATGGAAAAGTCATTTTAAACTATTTAAAAGGAGAAGAAAGAAGAAGGAAAAGGGAAAAGAATTGGGGGAAATAGGAACAAGAAAGGAAAAGGAACGAGGAGAAAGGAAAGGAAAGGAAAGGAAAGGAAAGGAAAGGAAAGGAAAGGAAAGGAAAGGAAAGGAAAGGAAAGGAAAGGAAAGGAAAGGAAAGGAAAAAAGTAACAAGAAAAGGAAAAGTAACAAGAAAAGGAAATGCAAGCAAAAGGAACAAAAGGAAAAGGAAAGGAAAAAAAGATACACACAGAAAAGATCAGGCAAGCAAATGGAAAAGGAAAATAAAATGGAAGGAATGAAAAGCAGAAGAAGCAGAAGAAGAAGAAAGTAACAGGCCAGAAAACAATTTCTCTGGTAAGCTGTAAGTGTGTCTGTTAGTTTTTGTTTTCCACTCTGATCCGGAAAGATTCCGTCAGAGCTCGAGAGCTCAAGACCGGGCCACGGGCACTCAACGGCTCTCTCGTGGACACACTAAGATTAGCACCATCACAAATCACCAAAACAGGAGGACTCTTGACTGCCTTTTTACGTCTCTGAAGTGGGGAGGGTTTATTTTTACATCCGGATTAAGATTTGTTTATCACGCCGTCTGAGATGCCCAAGTATCCCTGAGTTGTTTACACAAGCAACCAACCAGCAAATTAGGCCTCAAATCAAATGCATTGCTGACACGGGGGCCCGCCTGAGAACCTGTCTCCACTCCACCTCTCTGGTTTTACTATGAGTGACATGCACAAACACGGCATTTCTGAGGCCCAAATTCCTGACCTCCCTACACAGACGTGCAAATAATGGCACTGAACTAGTTGGAAAAACATGCTACCATTGTGCTGCTAACGCAGTAACCCGCCACCGCAGAGATAAATGATAGCTTTGTTTTCCCCTTCCTGACAGCTTTATTTCTGTGGAAGAAAAAGATGAGGCTTGCCCAATTATGCCTCCTTCTGCCATGCTGCATAATGTCTGCTAGCATGTAATCATGACTGAATTAGCGCTACATGACCCCGTGTGCCAGGGACTCTTGAGAGCATGGTAACCAATCTCTGAAACTGACATTGAGACGATATCCTCCACTTAACTGCCCATTTCTGCTCTGAATTGAAAACATGTCCTGCCAACGTAACCGCTTGGCTGCTAAATTGCAAAACGGGAAGGAAAAACACTAGCTTAGGCGGGTTTAAAAAGTTAGCAGAAGGACTTGGTGAGCATGAGCTTTATTCAAGCTGCCACGAGCATGAAGGCGAGCTAATGGGATGTGCTTGTTGACATGGGTACGCAGAGCAGGCAACAGCAACCTCATTTACTGCACAAAGAAATTAGTCGGCCCCTTAGAAACACAGGTTGAGGTTAAACAGAACAACAGAGAAAGAGATTAAAACAGTCTGACATTCCTCCCAGAGTCTTTAGCAGAAGGCGGGTGCCAGCGTCAGTAATTTACCTTTCAGCGGTCAAGTTGAAGGGGAAAAAATGGTCTCTTAGCGTTTCTTACACGGAACTGAGAATGTAGGACGACTTTACCACTAAAATCCCTCAATTATTATCAATTAGTATCACAAGACAGCATAATCTTTTAAAGGGTTACTGGTTAAGTAAACTTTGTTCAAAGTCAGCTTCAACGCTGTTTTTGCCTTTGCAACAGTAAATCCCTTCTCATTTTTAAAGACTTATTGGAGAGATTTAACAACAACCCAGAGGTAAAATTCAAGACAATGTCCAGTTGAACTGCACAGACTGCTGACTTGTCTAAAATTAGCGTATATTGACTACAAAATTCTCTAACAGTCCTCCCTCTAGGGAGAGTGAGGAAATGTCCTAATCACAGGCTTTCCTAAAGCAAGTGCTGTTTTTTCTCTTGGTCTTGTGCTGTCAGTTGTTTTCTCTTGTTGGCTTTCTTTCAATGAATTTCCTATAAACTTCTGGGCTG